AGAAGTAGAACCAGTGCCAGCCTGGGAAAGGGAATGCCGCCCAGTATATTTAGCCTGTTCCTCATATCTAAGTAAAAAGTAGGAAGAGAATTTAGACGTAGAGATAGCTACACCCGTAGTTCATTGATATGCTAAACGATATACATAACAAGGTAGGCTCTGAATTTAAACATAGAGATAGCTACACTTGAAGTTCACTTATATGCTAAACTATACATATAACAAGGTAGACTTTATCAGTAGCAGGAAACTTTACTTTGCCAGTAGACATGTTAATATCTTAGTAATACTCAGTCACCACTTAAGCTGTTTATACCTCTAGGAGAAGAAAACATCCACTTTAAAATTGCTTGGGCAGTTGCTTCTAACTTAAGCTATTGTTGATCTTTCACTGTTGTTGTTACCATCCAAGAGGGCAGTGAAAGACAGGAGACCAGAGAGAAGACTTTGGTCTTATCTAGTTGTTAATAACCCTTGCAAAGGAATCTTACATAAAACTGAAGCTAAAGGCTTGCCTTGCTTTCCTGTGGTAATAAAAGAGAAGAAAAATTCACAAGTCATGTCTGGGATTCTGTATCCTGCATTAAATCCTAGGAATCCACAAAACCTTGTGACATTTGTGAACAAGCAGAGGCTTCCATTTATGGAATGGGGTGGCCAAATTATCTTCCCAAGAATCTCTTTTCCTGCTGTTCCACTAAACAACTCTTGTTTCATCAAGAGATCCAAGCCTTTTGAGTAGATTTAAAGGATGCAGAGGGCTGCAAAGGGATGGGGCACTGACCATAAACTCTCTCTACACTTTCTGTGTACAAAAGCCCTGATGCATCAGAAAGCATTCCAGGAAAGAAAGATATCATTAGTTGCACCCTATTTGATTTTCCTTAGGAAGAATCTGTGAGTTACACAAATGTACAAACATAGTTCCTTTACAAAACATTGCAAGATAATTAAACTTTTACATATTATATATGTTGTGAGATTATAATTTAAATAGTACTTCATCTATATATATTAAGGGAAGTTGATGTAATTGTTACAAGAGGAAAACAAATTCTAGCAACTGATTACCATAAAGTGTTTCTGAGCAAAGAAATGCAATAAAAAGTAAATGAAAGATATGCAGAAACATGTTTTAATTTATTCTGAAGCATCTGTTCTATTTTCTAGATGCATATAAGACTTTGGTCTCTGTATAGCTAACATAAGGCTCGATTTTTGGCATACATCTTCACTGTGAACTCACAATCTCACAATCCATTCTCTCTCATTTTGTAGTTCTGGTATACCTTATTATAGAATGATATTTCTAAATAACTTGGCTGTACAACAAACATGTATTGATCAATTCATTTTTACTGAAATTTTTAACAGCCTCTTTTAAATGCAAAGTTTGGTATTAATCTTCTACTATACAGTTCTGATTAAACAAGCTTGATTTGTTGCCTAATCAGAGGGGGGGGGAAGTCTGAATAAAACAGCAAGAATTACTGGATTGCTCCCACTGTGAATGTGCAACAGGGAGCCATCTTTAAAATATATTAACTACATCTAAACATTGTTTTCAAACAGATTGAATGTATTTTTGCATGAAACATTCCTATTCTAACTTCAGGTGGAGAAATCTGATATATAAAATTTAAGGACATGGCAACCAGTGCCTCTCTGGCATTGGACCACAGAATGAATCCTTACAGAGGGACACTGGTCCCCCTCTTCACAGTTCATTACATTCATGGAACAAACACAATAGGTAGTGCAGCCACAATCTTATTAACAATAAAAATGGGCTACCTATTATGTAGTATGTGAAGGAATAAACACTTCAGTTTTGTGTATTTAGATCTATGAAACAAATATATGAATGTTTAATTAATATGACTGATATTATAGTTGCTAATTACAGATATACAGTATGCTAGAAAGTTTTAACTCAAATTGTCACCCAAGAACAACTAGTGCTTGTAGAATTCTTATGAAAGTTTTATCTCTATTCTAAATTCAGTTCTGAAGGAGGGGCCTAACCCATGTATCAGATCAGAAATTCATTACTGGCATTTTTGGAAAAAAACCCAGATCTAATGGCTTCTTATACCTTTAATAAACAGTATTTTGAGCTGTACTTTAGAATGCAGATAAATCAAGCTGATCTGTGAAGCAAAACCTCTTAAAGTCACTTTATGCATGCTTTAATACTCAAAGAATTTAACTGTAGAAAATGGATTAATACAGGATACTTTCTATTTCAATGGTATGAATTCAAAACATTCCAGCATTATGGTATATAGATTTATTTTTAATAGTACTTTGAGTTTTTTGTAAACTGCATACAAAACAGCTTTGCTATGTATTCACTAATATTTTACTTCATGAAATAGAGCCATATGTCAGGAAAGGAAAGTCTTAAAATTTGAATTTTATATCTCATCTTGGCTTGTGAAAGGGCCAACCAGAATACTCAATGTTTTGCTGGAAATCAAGACATTGTTGGAAAAGTATAGCAGCTGACATATCATTTTAGGCCAACTGGGAACCTTGAAAACTCCATTCAGTAAGTCAAGGCACGGTAACAATTTCTGAAATCATGGTGGAATTTATCAACACTGAATAGATATAGCGAAACCAGTTGATGAACTTGGCACATTTTCTGACTGAAGGGGTTTAGGTATGCTACTGCAAGCTAGCAATCTCAACAGAAAGGCCAAGGACTGAAAGGGTCATGGAGACCAATTTCTCCTCTCACCTCTAGAGGTGGTCCCTCCAGGACAGAGATGAGGCACATTGGTGGGGGCAGTGTGGGAAAGCTTGCACTGCTGCCGCCCATGCTGTATCTGTTCTGTGGATAAATAGAGGGCTTCAGCCTCCAGAGTTGTCAATCCAGCACCTTTCAGCACTAAATTAAAAAGAATATAAATAAATATAAAAGAATTGAGGCAGATTGGCAGAGCTAGGCATGTGAAACTTGGACTGTACCTTGCTTTAGTGCCAGTGCTTATTTGTAGTATAAAATCATTAAAATTAAAAAGCACAAATAAAGGAACAAAACCCCTGCTATTTTTGTATTATGATTGATAATTTTTCTTAAACAATTTCATCCCGTGTGGTGGTTTCATAAAAATACATTATTAATTAATATTATGAAGCATCAAAATGATTTTGAATTTTCTTTCATATTACTATTTCCTGGAATTTCAAATTGTTTACCAGTTACTTTGGGGAAACTGTTTAAAAATAAATGACAATATTTCAGTATATGTCACAAACAGTAGGAATAAGAAGTGTTATTATTTTGTTTGCTTTCTAATTCTTATTGGGGGAAATGCTGATTTATTGATTAGCTCTCCATTAAATAGATTGTCTGGTCTCTGTAGAATCACAACAGTGGAAAAGCTTACTGAGAAATCTAGCAGACACATCCAGCATGACAGTGTTACAAGCATCTATAATAATATTCTTCCCCAAAATGTATGGTCATAGATTGATACAATTAGTTTACATGCGCGACCCTAAAATAATGCAGTCACATATTTATTAATCCCTAATGTTATATCATCTTATTTACTAATCTGAAATACTTTCCCATCCATTTATATATAATCTTCATTCCAATACACAGGAAATTGTTATATCTGGTATATGATAAAAAAAAAACCCCAAAAATAATTTTTATGGCATGATTTGTCAGTAAAGGTCATCTGGAAGAGAAAAAGCAATTACTTTTTAAAAAGTGGGGAATGTTACTCAGAAGTGATGTAAAAGTAGTGGAACTATTATTTTCTGATTGTATATCATACAGTTTGCATATATGTATCCCCAAATACTGTATTACGATTTCAGTGCAAGAAATTCATATTTACCTCCTCCTGTTAATGTGTAGCAACTAGCTACTGCCCATATACCTAGGAGAAACATTTTTTTTGAGAATCTACTTAATGATGTCAAAAGATCAGCAGGGGTATACTGTTGAACAGGGGCAACAAATGTTTTAGGATTGGTGGAAACTTTTAGAATTTTGAGAACATGTTGTAGATAGTCTTGCAAAATAGTTTCTGGGAACGGAAGGCTTGACTTCTGCAAAATGGCTACCATGGGAGATATAATTAACTACAAAGTAGCAATTTATCAGAAAGCTATATGCTACCCCAGTAAAACTCTCACAGGATGCTCCCTACCATCCATACATATATTTTTCTCTTTTTTTCTGAGCATGTTTCCAAACCAAACCCTTAGTTGAGAGCACCACATATATTTACATTCTAAGAAAGCACAGAGGCCCATTGGGGTCCCGGGTATTCTTGGAAATAGGGATGATTCCAAAGGCTAGCATTTTACTTTGTAGCATTCCATCTTCTAATGTTTTATATTAAACATTGTTTTCACTATAAGAAGTCAGGTAGGACACAGAGCCTGGTGAATGCCAAGGAAGATGTCACTGGGCATGCTGGTACTCTGGGGCACCATGTTGGGAACCCAACCTATGAGCTTTTACAGAATAAGATTTTATTGTATTCATTTATTGAATTTCTATACTAACTAATCTCTTTTTATAGAATGTATATTCCTGCAGTTCTTTCTTTTCCAAGTAGTATATCAATTATTGGGGAAGACCAGTGGAAGAGGGATGGAGCTTTAACTCTTTCTTTCTAACTAAGTCCCCTCAAAATTGCTGTTTTTAAAACAGAATTAAACTGCAAGGCTGACAAAGGTAATTTGGGATTATCTCAGACATAGATCCAGTCAATTTGATTTCCAAAACACAGTTCCTTTAGGTTCTTTCCAAAAATGGTGATCTGATGTCGTAAAGAGCTGACACCGGAAGCTCCTAGGCTGATGATTTCTAAATTCTGATGTCCCCCTTGCTCTGTTTTAAGAGCAAAACACCAACATATCCTGTAGTGTCCAGGAAGTCCGGGGAGAATATGGAGTTACAGTCTAAAAAGCAAATATCTCAGCCATTTGTAGAACTTTATATTACTTTATCTTAAATGCCTCATTCTTACCTCTTGCACTAGGAGGTGCAGAGTTGATCATCTGAGATGGTGCAGAATGAGTAGAGCTCAGGCTTGAGGTGGAAGGACTGGCCTGGGAATAAGAAAAAGTAACACTGATCAGTAGGTTCAAATATTTATTATTAAGGAGTCCATGATATATACAGTCATGTGAAAAAGAAAGTACACCCTCTTTGAGTTCTGTGGTTTTACGTATCAGG